TAAACACATTTTACAGATTAATGGGTTTTTATAAACAATTTAATTTTTTCTAATATACCTCCCATTAGTCGTCTAACTGTGTCTTCAGTAACTTTTTTGCTTGATGATAACCATTTTTTGGAAAAATGTTTGGTGGTATCAGCAACTTGTTTTGTGCCCTTCATAACCCTTTTTACCAGAGCCCAATATCTTTCGATGGGTCTGAGCTCCGGGCAGTTAGGTGGATTTGCGCATCTGGGTACAAATAATATGTTGTTCGTCTCATACCACTCAACTGCCGATTTGCTGTAATGGCACGAAGCCAAGTCAGGCCAAAAAAAAGTAGAGACCTCATGCCGTCTTATGAATGGCAAAAGCCGTTTTTGCAAACACTTGGATATATAATTCAGTATTAATCATTCCAGTTGTAACAAAAGAGCTACTTCTTTTACCACAGCTACAAATTGCTTGCCAAACCAAAAATTTTTTAGGAAACTTTATCTTTTTTTGCGTTTTGAACTCCTCTTGGACATTTCCTCTACGATCTGCAACATAAAAATCCACACCTGGTAGCTGAGAAAAGTCCCCAAGTACATATGTTTCATCATCCATGATGCAGCAGTCAAAATTCTTAAAGAACTCAAGGTGAAGTCGTTTGGCTCGATCTCTTGCCGTGCTGTTCTTTTTTGAATTTCTGTCAGGAACTTTCTGAACTTTGTATGACTTAAGCCCTTCCTCCTTTTTAACTTTTCTGACAAAAGCCTCGGAGCATTGTAGTTTTTCAGCAACTTTTCTACCCGATATGTTAGGATTTTTCCTAAAAAGCGCTATTATCTTCTTGGCGACAACAGGTTTTTTAAAACCCTTTTTTTTGCCACTTCCTTGCTTCCTATTTACAGTCAGACGTTCGTTGTAAGTTTTAACAACAAGCGATACGGTATTCCGGGAAACCTTTGCTTTTCTAGCGATTGCTTTGAAAGTCCAATTTGGATTTTCGTTATAAAATCTAATAATTTTTTCGCGTACTTCCTTTTCATTGCCCATCTTGAACACAAAACGTATCGAATTCTTTTGAAATTGGACAAGAGCATTTGTATATATTTAGCAAAGCCATCTTGTGGTAAAAAAAATTTAATTTCAAAGTTAAAAGATTTTACTAGCCGTAATGTGTGCACTAATTTCATCGTGCGCAAACCTTATGCATATCAAATACCTATCAGCATTAACTCCCATTATTTCATTTCATTTATTTACTTTGTAAGTACAGTAAAACTCGAAGTCTTTAAGCGTACTAATAACAAAAATTTCAATTACAAGATTAAACTTAAGCTAAGACAATAATATAAGTAAGTATATGAACTACATATCATTCTTGCTATATTATAACTAACACTAAGGGCCGGTTGCTCAAAGCCTGGTTGACACTAATCCCCGGTTAAACATCGTTATCAACGTTACCGACACCATGTTATTTGCATGGAGCCGAAAACGTCGATAACGATTTTAATCGGTGATTAGTGTCAATCAGGCTTTGAGCAACCGGCCCTAAGGGATAGAAGACGTACAGAAAACTTGAAAAGACAGAGGATGGGAAGTGGATAGTTAATTTTTGAGTAGATTTGCAACTGCTGTTTTGAAGCATTGAATCGAACTTACACATTTAATTGAATTTGGTAGTGAATTCCATATTCTGATAGCACTAACAAAAAATAATCTTGAGGCTATAACGTTTGGTACAGGTACGAGACGATTGAACAAATTTTAATGTACGGTATAGGTATACTGGTTTGCGGTTTCTGATCAGTTTGAATAAGAATAAAACATTGCGATAATTTAAGTAACTTTCGATGCTATAACCGAGAATATTTACAGTGAACAATGATATATGGTCAAATTTTTTCTTACAATATATAAACCTGGCAGCATTATTTAAAGCTCCTTTTAATTTATTCTTCGACTCATAATCAAGATTTCCATACACTATTTCACAATACGCGATATGGGGAACGATAAGTGACTGAACTAGCTTCAATTTTGTATTATTTGGTAGGCAGTAACATGTATGCCAAAGGTTTCTTAAAATAAAGTATATTCTAGAGATACAGTGGTTGATATGATCTGTGCAAGTCAAACGAGAATTAATTTTAAAGCCCAGATTAGTCACAACATATCGAAACTTTAACTCAGTTTGCCCCAATATAATTGGCGATAGACAACTCAGATCAAAAGAATGAGGTGATATAGGTATAACCTGCGTTTTGGCAGCATTTAAGCAGAGGCTATTTGTTTCGGCCCAGATCTCTATTCTCCTTAGATCTTCATTTAACCGAAACACAAGGTCTTCCCCAAGTCCAATTGGTCGCGAGTAGTAGATCTGTGTATCATCGGCATACAGGTGAATATAAGCATTTTGACAGCAGTGAACAATATCATTTACAAATATACTAAAGAGTATAGGACCCAGGATTGAGCCTTGCGGTACACCGGAATTAATTTTCCTGCGACAAGAAATTGTTTCTCCACATTGCACTTGTTGGTACCTGTTTGATAAATACGCTTCCATAAACTTAAGCGAAGTAGAGTTGAAACCAAAATAGTACTTCAATTTTGCAAGAAGAATGTCATGCTTTACGGTATCAAAGGCTTTAGAAAAATCTAATAGCACCAGGATAGTGAGTAGTTTGTCATCATAAGCAGGACGAATATCTTCCATTACCTTCAAAACCGCTGTAGAACAACTGTGACTTGACCGAAAACCAGATTGGACCTCACTCAACAAGTTATGATTATTCAAATGTAGAACTATCTGGGACGAAATAAATTTTTCAAAAACTTTGGCTAAAACAGGTAAAATGCTAATAGGCCTGTAGTTTTCGGGAGAGTCACAAGACTCGCCTTTGGGAACAGGAATAATGTTTGCAATCTTCCAAAGGTTTGGAAAGGAGGATGATGTTAAGGCAAAATTAAAGATATGTGTAAGTGTCGGGAGAATGTAAGGGATAATCAGCTTAAGGAAACGTAGACTGATACCATCTATACCAGTAGCATTTGACTTGATAGCAAAAATATTCTTTACAACATCGTCCTCACTGGCCGTATTAAAAGAAAATTCACATGAGGGTTTGCAAACCAAATTTTGATTAAAACTGAACGAGTGCGAATTCGTAAGTTTATTATTGGCGCCAATGAAATAATGGTTCATCTCATCCGCACCAAGACCGCAAGGTTTTGAATCTTTATTACAGACTCCTATAGATTTCAAATTTTTCCACAATGTTCTGGAGGGTAATTTTGTATCAAGCTTATTTTCCAGATAGACTCTTTTACTGTAACGTATTTCTTTAGCTACTTTATTTCTCAAATTTTTATATGCATTCCAACGCTCGTCTGAAGGATATTGCTTCCAATATTTATAGGCCTTACTTCGATCCTTAATAAGATTAAGAATGTGCTTAGTGAACCACGGTCTCTTATAATTATTCACTTTTATAGTACGTAGAGGGACATATTTATCATACAAGTATTTTACCAGTTTATTAAAGTGATCTAATTTATCATCCAAATTCGAGAAGAACCAGCAAGAGTTCCATTCCAGTGATATACTTTCGTCATTCAGTGCTATTTTATCAATCCATTTAAAATTTCTGAACGTCAGGTTGGTAACTGACAATTCTTTGTTAAATTCAATATTAAAAGTTAAAAATACTAGTTCATGGTCAGAGACTCCATCTAAGGAAAATTGGTCTACGTGGCTAACTTTGCTAACATCGCTTACACCAAAGAGATCTAACATGCTTGGCTTGCAGTGAGGAGCAAAACGTGTTGCAAATTCGTTTGCGACAGTTAATCCACAATTGGTAAAGTTTTTTAGTAATTGCCTACATTTAACATTATCCAGGAGAAGATCGACATTAAAATCACCACAGACGAGGACATTTACATAGCTCAAGGACAGTTCAGATATTTTTGTAAAAATAGTGGTAAAGTCATTAGACCTATGGGGATTATAGACACATATTACAAGACACCTTTGAACATTATCACTAAACTCTACAAAAAGACTTTCAATTGTTTCAGGGCAGACAGATTTATGAACGACTTTACATTTAAGACTGGATTTGAAATAAATGGCAATGCCACCCCCTCTATGACCAGTGGACCTATCATTCCTTAACAATGAAAAATCACAAAGAGCATAAGCAGAGTTAGCAATACAAGGTTTGAACCATGTCTCAGTTACACAGACCACATCAATATTTATTTCACGTAAAAAAAAGTTTAAATATTCAAGTTTATCAATCGATAAACTTCGAGCATTATTGAACCCATTATTATATACGCACGTAAGTTTCAGAGCTAGCCTAATATTATCACTGTTAGTGTATCTACACAAGGTACTACTAATAAATAATATAATAAACAATTTTATGCATTTAGATCTTATCAAATGTGGTGGGATACGGTTATTAGTTTGTATAATTGATTCAGGGTGTTTTCTTTATATAAATTAAAATTAATCACGAATGTTTAATTTCGCCAAAAAACAAATCTTGGAAGGTACATATTTATTTAAAAAATATTTTTTTTTCACACTTGTTTTCATTTTTTTATTCGAAAACCGAAACCGGAACGAAACCGAAACAAATTTTGAAGAACGAAACCAAAACACTTTGCACAACCGAAACCCAAACCGGATCGTTATTTTGAATCGGTTTCATTTCTTGCTTTAATTATTGAATCATGCGTGTATGCCGCCTATAACAATTGAATCTCTTAAAAAAAAATAACTAAATTTCACTGGCTTCTGAGCAACTGGCATAGTGTAGACAGTCCTCATGCCAGTCCAGCGCTGACCTGGCTCATATAAACGGAGCATAACACTTTTAGATCTGACCATATATACAAGATTTTGGCACAATATTTTCATGACCAAGCTTAATAAGCTTTTTTACTTTTATATTGAATATGTATATAATTTCTACAAAACTTTGCATATTAATTAGGCAAACTTTTACTTTTAGGTTTCCTTAGTCGTTTTCCGATTCATCAAGATGGTTCTTGCAATGGACTGCAACACTACGCGGCCCTAGGACGCGATGAAGCTGGAGCAAAGAGTGTTAACTTAGCGCCGTCACCTTTGCCACAAGACGTTTACAGTGCTGTTGCCACACTTGTCGAGAAATCTCGAAAATCAGATGCTGCGCATGGAATACAGGTAGCGCATGCCTTAGAAGGTTTTGTCTGTCGCAAGGTTATTAAACAAACCGTAATGACTACGGTGTACGGTGTTACACGCTATGGCGCAAGACTACAAATTGCTCGTCAGTTAAAAGATATTGAAAGCTTTCCTAAAGACTGGGTATGGCCTGCCTCAACGTATTTGACGTCAAAAACTTTTGAAAGCTTGCGAGAGATGTTTACCTCAACACGTGAAATACAAGATTGGTTTACGGAATGCGCCCGGCTAATATCAGGCGTTTGTGGGAAAAATGTAGAGTGGATAACACCACTTGGTCTTCCTATCGTGCAGCCATATAACCGACATGATCTTAAGCATGCTGTTCGCACAGGCGCCCGAATATCGGAAACTATGGCAATGGATATGTACGAAAAACCCAATGTTATGAAACAAAAAAATGCATTCCCGCCGAACTTCATACATTCACTGGATTCGTCTCATATGATGCTCACATCACTCTTTTGTGAGCAAAAAGGGCTTACTTTTGTCTCCGTACACGACTGTTTTTGGACTCATGCGTGCACTGTGCCTGAAATGAATAAAATTTGCCGAGAGCAATTTGTATCTTTACACTCGCAACCTATCATTGAAAATTTGTCTGCATTTATGAGAACTAAATACAGTATCAAAGAATCGTGAGTATTAAAATATTCTACGATGTAATATAACTGGAAATATTCTATTACTTCAGGGATATGGTAAACGATGGCTCAGCTGATTACCTCTTAAAGCGCCGGCTTAATCGAACCTTGGGAGAGATGCCGAAAAAAGGACACTTTGATTTACGAAATGTATTAAATTCGGTATACTTTTTTAGTTAAGTTCTAAATCTTATCTTGTCCCCTCGCAATCTGCATTGGATATTAAGAATAATATAAAAGCAATCGGAAAGGGTTTTCTATACTTGCTAAAATAATTTTGTGTTATGAACATTGAATGCATGTGTGATTGCGTTTTTATCGTAAATATTATATGAACGAAAATGTGCAAGCAAATAAATACTGTAACTCCTTGAGTCTTATGAATTATTGAATTTTAATGTTATATGTACCACTAGTCATTTAGTTTTTGCATAGTGTGTTTTTTTATTACAATTTTCTTTCCATGATGAAATTAATTGAGACAAAATTCACAAGATTGATAATGATGAATAAAAGTTTTATAACTATTTCATAAAAGTGAAAGGTGCGACAATTGTCGATTTCGGAGTCAGAATTTTTCCTATGAAACAGGAAACTCTTTGGAGCTATTACCGAAAACTTCTGATCCACAAATTTAAAAATATATACAAAAATGGTACTCATCTAATCATGTAAACTTACAAAAGTTAAAAGTTTACACACAGTGTTAAATAAAAACACCTCATTTAACAAAATATCAAACATTTATTATTCTTTTCAAATAAATTATAGCGCCTATTGTAAAAATGTTGAATATGTTCGACAAAAATGATATTAAGTGTGGGCTCGAGTCGTAACATCCGTTCACGAATCAAAAACGATACAAAAGATACGTTAGTCGTTTAAGCTGAATGGGACAAATAGTACGCTCACGTATGTCATAATCCGAAAAGTATGTTTTTACGTGACGAGTAATACGATATCGTTTGTGACGATTTGAGCCTTGGTTTCAACATTTTTCATTTCGGGTCTTGGATATTTACAAGGTCTAGTTTGCCCATCAAAAACATTGTAAAAACATGTAGTGTGCGTAAATAAGTTTTCATACAATTTTTTATGGACGGTTTACGAGTTTACTAACTTATATAACATTTACTGTTTACGCGAGCACTGCAGCACACATATGTATGTATTTAATTTACTTAATTCTGTAGAGAACTTAATATGAAATTGTATCTGTGGAATTTGTATACCATAAATTTGTATTTTGAATTATATTTCGTGTGCGCACTATGTAAGCATTTCTTAGAAGGAGTTGACAACGCACGTCCTCCTCGCTCATTACAAACTCGATGTGTATCAAATAAATGTATAAAATTAAAAAAATATATATAGAAACACAAAATTTATTTTAATTTATTTGATATCGTTTATACGTTAGTACATTAAGATTTAATATTTTATTGCAGAATAAGAAACATATTGAAGATAAGAACATTAAATATAGGAAAATAAGAAAATATAACAAAGAATTAACAAATTTTATAGTATTTGTACAGATATATTTTTTTTGGTAAGTGATATGAACTTAAAGATTAACAAATCTTGCTTTAAGTTAAGATGACATCGATTTGTTAATGCATATTTTTACATATTTTTCCTTAGATGCATATATAGGAATATTTTGTAAAAAAA